GGCCCCTGGACCTGGCCGCCCCCCCCCCCCGCAGCCGTCAGGGTGAGCGGGAGGGTCTGAGGCGACAGGGACCTGGCGCAGCACAGACCGGTCAGCGCAGGGACCAAGCGCAGTCAGGGCAGCCCAGCTTGGGGAGAGGGGCCCAGAGCCAGGCCCTGCCTCCCCAGCCTGCCCCCCTCCCAGCTCCCAGCCCTCCTCTTCCCCCCAGATCTTTGTCCTGCTTCCTGGGCAAAGGGTGTCACCTGGCTGTCCCCCTCCTGGGCTTGGGGCAGGAAGGGTGTCAGCCGGTGCGAAATTCCCATCCCCATTCAAGCACGGGTGCAGGGCCCAGGGAAACTGAGGCGCACCCACGGGGTTACTGTGGGACAACAGAACTCGCATGTAGCGTACCAAGGAGACTAGAATCTCCCATTTTTCTCTCTCTCTCTCTCTCACGCACACCCACACCCCACCACTCCCGGCCGGACACGCACACCTGCAAGGCGGGGCTCACCCCTGGTCCTGTGTAACAACCAACTCTCACTCCCCCGCCCCCCGGTTACACACTCAGCACATGGGGAAACTGAGGTGCAGACACACTATCTGGGTAAAACACAGCACCCCCCTCTCCCACTTCCTCCCAGTCCCCACTGACACCCACTTCCACACTTCCAGGGCTCCCTGCCCTTTTCCTGGCTCCCGCAGGCGCAGGCTCTGCCCCCTCCCTGGGTCCGCAGCATTTGGAGCATGTGTGCTGGGGTGTCGGGGTCGAGCGGGGCCCTGCCGGGGCTCTGTGGGCAGAGGCTGGCCTCAGCTCCTGTCTGTGCCCCCAGGCGACACCGGGGAGATCAAGGCGGAGGTGCGGGAGCAGATCAACGCCAAGGTGGCTGAGTGGCGTGAGGAGGGCAAGGCCGAGGTCATCCCAGGGGTGAGTGGGGGTGATCCACCCGGGGGGTTAGCAGGGGGAGGTGCTGGCTGGGGACCCCCGGGGGGAGCTGAGGGCTAGTTGGCTGATTCCTCGGGGGGCACTGGTTGGATGATCCTGCGAGAGGGGCAGTGGGGGCTGA